AAGATTAAAATTGTAAATCAAAAATTGAAAGTCGCAAAAACAATGTTTAAGCGGTCTTTACAGAGTCAAACATCTTCATATGAAAATGAAGATTTCTTAGAATCCAATTCAAATATTCATGATAATAATACTTCAGTATCAACAGAACTTGAACCGCAACAAAAAAAAGCTAGAAAAGGTGGTCCGAATTTTGATAAAGTATGGCATTACGTTATTAAAGATGCACAAGTAAATTCAGGACACTATGAGGCGACATGCTCACATTGTAATAAATGTTGGCCAAGAGGTAAACCATACGACTTAAAGGCCTATCTCGCAATTCATTGTTCAAGTGTATCTAAAGATATTCGAAAATATTAGCATAAGAGACTTGTAGAGCAAAATAATAAATATTCAAAAAATTCACAATTAAATTCACCTTTACCTGCACAAACTAATAACCAGTACGATGAACTCCTTTTAAAGGCCTGGATAATGGCCAATATCTCATTTGAAGTAGTTAAGAATCTATTTATCAGGAATTTATTTAAAGCTCTCAATCCTGCTTATATCTTGCCATCATGTACAACATTGTCAGGACAATTATTAGATAAAGAATTTGCACATGTGCAAAATTCTATTGATAATGAGTTAAAGAATGCAGAGTATCTAACCTTAAGTAAATTGGTTTTATATTATAATTATTCAGAATCAATTCTTAGTTGAGTCAAAGTTTAAAATTATAGTATTAGAATGTTTTGAGAACCGAGTTGTCCTTAAAAATATTTATTTAAAAAAATTTAAATATAATTAATTGTGCAATAATTCCCACATACATATCAGGTTTGTTATTTATATAATCCCCGATCACTATATCAAGATCACGGAAGGATTAATTAATAATACCCTGACCGTATATGAATAAGCAGAAATGTTATTTCCGCTAATCCCCAATGGATCAGGATATTATTATTACTAATATGCTTTTGTTAATCATAATAGAATATTAATTTGTAGCTCCGACTTAAATGATAAATATAATGAATATACCATAGTGCACTGATCAAACGATCCAGGGTCTAATACAAAATACCTATCAAATAACTTAAAAAGACCCGGTACATAATATTGTAGTGGGTTTGTATTGCAAGAAAGAAAAATTCAAGCATATGCATATTCCGCATTTAAAAAAACCCACATTTAATTAATTGGAATCTCATGTTTTGCACTAGGGTATTCTACACGAAGGTATTAAAAAAGGGATAGATATATTTTGGTCAGTGCACTATAATAGATATTTAACGAATTCACAATTGATATATAAATCTTGAAATAAGTCAAATTGATTAAACAAGAATTGATTCTGAATATATATTTTAAAAGTTTCTATATATTTGATATGTAATAATAACATTTTTTTATTATAGCTCTTGACGGCTAGACTTCGAAACGTGGAGATTCTATATTCAATTATATTGTAACAACAATAGAGCGAAAAGAATATTTGATCGCCTTAAAAAATTATTCTTTAGAATCTCATACTGGTAATTTTTTGGCATCAGAAATTTCAAGTATTATTGAACAAATTGGTTCCAAAAAATTCGCAGCAATTGTCACGGATTTAGCTTCTAATTGTAAACTTGCAAGAGAAAAAGTTCAATATAAATATCTACATATCTTGAACATTCGTTGTATTGCCCACGCTTTTAATTTAATCGCTACAGATCTAACTAAAATTGTTGAAATAAAAGCATTTATTAATCGCTGTAGGAAATTAATAAAGTTTTTACCAAATTTCCTCAAAAATTAGCATTATTGCGGCAAGGTCTAACAAGTATGAAAATTAAATCTGAAGGTCTAGAACCATGGTGCCCAACCCGTTGGGAATCATTATTTGGTACTACAAACTCTATATTAGTTGCTCGTCCGGTATTTGACTGGGTGTGTAATCTTTTTTTTTTTTATGCATATATATATATAAATAGTTACATAATACTAATTAAGATTTTAGATGTTACTTGAGCATCCAAACATATTTACAGATTCAGAAATTTTTAATTTGTTACATGATGATGATTTTTTTATTACTTGCCACCAAATTCGATCAATCTAGAAACCAATCAAAGCTTGTATAAATTCTCTAGAAGGTCGCACTGCATCTTTAGCAGATTGTTTTATTTATTTGATTAAGTTAGCAATTGCGATCTATCAGGTCCCTGCATTGATCCCGTTTAAATCTACTATGGTTCAACTGTTTAATCGACGATATAAAGAACTTCAGCACCCGTGTTATCTACTATGTTACTACCTTCATCCATTTTATCGTGGTATAAAAATGAATTTTATTATAATTAAAATAGCTGATTACTAAATTGCAATTTTTTTTTATATGATTATTTTTTTTTTTTTATATTAGAGAAAGGGCTTAAGAATAAAGCATTCTGGGATGCTGCCATAACTGCCTCAACCTTATGGAAAAATTCTTTGCATTCTGAGCAAGAATGCAAAGAATTAATATCTCAGTTTCGTTATTATGAAGCTAAAAAAAAACCCTTCGATTTACCTTATGTTCAAGACCTTGATACTTCAATGTTATGGTAGGGATCCATTAAAAACCGGCCACGTCATCTTTCAGAACTTGCACAGAAACTCTTTAGTATTACACCATCTCAGGCCAACTATGAAAGGAACTTTTCGATTCTCAAATAGTTTATTGGAGATAAATGGATACATCTTGATATTAAAAAGCTTGAAGAAATGGCAAAAATTAGGTCATACTACATGACAAATATATAGGAAGAGCTTAACTGTCTTGGTGTTGAATTAACCGAAAATGAATTGCGTGAGATGGTTAATCTCTCATCAATTAATAGTTTTATCGAAGATGAAGCTGATGAGAAAAATGAAATCGAAAATAATATATGTGAAGACGATTTGTTATCCCGGGCCAATTTGGTTTTGGAAGAAACTATAAATTTAAAGGATCCAATCTTCCAGGAAGAAGATATCATACTACATGAAACTTCATCTAATACCTCAAGTAATACAAATGATAATAATGGCAAAAGCAGTGGTAGTATGGATTTTAATCCTGAAAATCTTGTTGATGCCGTCTTAAAT